CATCCATCCATCCAGCCATCATTATAATCATCATCCATCCATTATCAATATCATCATCATCCATCCATCATCATCCATCCATCATCATTATCATCATCATCTATCCATCCATCCATCATCAATATCATCATCATCTATCCATCCATCCATCCATCCATCCATCATCAATATCATCATCATCCATCCATCCATCCATCATCATAATCATCATCCATCCATCCATCCATCCATCATCATCATCATCATTATTATCATCATCCATCATCATTATCATCATCATCCATCCATCCATCCATCATCATCATCATTATCATCCATCCATCCATCCATCCATCATCATTATCATCATCATCCATCCATCATTATCATCATCATCATCCATCCATCATTATCATCATCATCATCCATCCATCCATCATTATAATCATCATCCATCCATCCATCCATCCATCTATCCATCATTATAATCATCATCCATCCATCCATCCATCCATCCATCCATCCATCCATCCATCCATCATCATCCATCCATCATCATTATCATCATCATCCATCCATCATCATCCATCCATCATCATTATCATCATCATTATCATCATCCATCCATCCATCCATCCATCCATCCACCCATCATCATCATCCATCCATCCATCCATTATCATCATCATCATCATCCATCCATCCATCCATTATCATCATCATCCATCTCCATCCATCCTCATCCTCACCATCCATCCATCCATCCATCCATCCATCCATCCATCCATCCATCCATCCATCCACATCATCATCACCATCCACCCTAAATGAGTGTCCTCACATCCAGACTTTACCTTGTGGGGGGGCGGCCTCTGAGTCCTGCTCCGGCGCCGCCGCGGCCTCGCTGACCTCTGATGGCGGCTGGGCGGGGGGGTCCTCCGCCTCCACCTCTGCCTCCACCTCTGGGGCCGCCTCCGGGGGGGCCTCCACCTCCGGGGGGGCCTCCACCTCCACCTTCGGGGTCTCCTCCGTTAGAGTCCGCTGAGCTTTCTCTGACGAGGAGGAGGCGTCTGCTGTGAGAGACGAGGTGAAGAAGAGGGGGCAAAGGCAGCGGGGTTAGGAGGGGGGGGGGGGCTATTA